TGATCGGTCAGCTGCCTTTAAAAACAGGCAGGTTGTGTTAACAAGGGAGAACCGGCAAACCATCGGAGGAGCGCAGTCATAGTAGAAGAGAGGAAAACTAGGGACAAGGAAAGACGAGGACTGACCAGCCAGTAGTTTCAACGTGACTTCGCCGTCTTCCTATGTTCGACTCTGTAACTAATGATCGCCCGGTTCTGTAGTTCAACTGAGTTAATAACGAAACCATTCTTTGCCACCACAACTTGTTGTTCGAGTGCACAGAGGTGGTACAAGTTTGCCGTCTAGTTACTTAGTAATTGTTCTGTCAACTTTAATCCCTGGTCTTGTGCGTGCGTCTCTTAGGAATGAACTGAGATCCTGGATATTAGTGATAATGGATCAAAGCATCCTTTACCCAAGTACTTCTACCATGGCACCTTCACGAGCTGAGTAGGTTAGATCGCTGTCTTTGTGTGCTGGCGATTAGGTGCCTCCCTCTGGCAAGTGTTGGTTCGAATCCCGGACGGGACTCAACCTAAAAAGTACGAGAATCTGTACTATACTGAGAAAGTGTTATCTCAAATATAACGTGTTTTATTTGACCACTTTCTAAATGACATTGTGTATTCATATTATCTGGTAGTTGTGAAAATATGGTCCTGGATCTACTGTCGGTAGCGCTGGCAACTGCGTCACCATCCTTGGCTCCATCGGTAAATATGGATTAATACGTGTCATATGAGCTTCTTAACTGATTACATTCTTGTTGCTAAATTGGTTGATTTGTTACAGATTTCTTTGGTTGTGTTAATGTTGGGTTTACCTTGCCATGGGAGAGAAGACAAAAGCCTGACAGGAGAGATAATATCTAAATCAATATTTAGCAGCTGTAATGTATGGTTTAATCCGAATGCCTTGTGTTGAGACCAGCTTAGGTTTCCTGTGAAACAGTCCTTCGTAAAGGGGTTGAAAAACACATCTGTATGCAGGGTTTAATGGGCTAGAATCTAAGTTGGTAATGTATTGTAGCGATAATTTCATACGGCGTTGCTTCAAGAAGGTTTCATCAGCTTCAACATATGCGCCAAGACAAAGTATTAGGCCCTGATGGTGAATGAATATAGTTTTTGTAACTTGCTTAACAGGCTCCAGCATATACAATGGAGCCATAGTCTCAATTGGAGTGAACCAGACACCAACACAAGTAGGGGAGGGTTTTCTCATCACCTCACAACTTTATATTAGCGACTACTTTCAACAAATCTAGGGCCTTCAGGCATTTAGTTTTAAGATGATTAATACATGGCTGAAAAGTCAAAAGATGATTGAAAGTGAGTCCTAGGAACTTGGTTTCCTCTACCACCTTGACACGCTACTACTGGTGCCTATATTTCCTGCAAAAATGAATGCAATTGGTCATTGCTTTCGGCAATTTAAAGCCATTCTCAAGAGACCATTTTTGGCAAATATGTTAGACATTGCTGCAACTGTCTCTCGATGGTATGAATACATATGCCACAACAAGATATATTAAAATCATCCATAAAAAGGGAACCGTCAATGGAATCATATAAAATCTATATACTTAACAGAGAGACAGACCAAATGCTGCCTTGTGGAAAACTCTGATCATGATTGCAATGATCAGACAGGATGGGACCCACACGACACTGAAATTGTCGGTCTGTTAGAAACTTGGATATAAATTTACACAAACGGCCTCTTAACCCCAAATCACGTAGATCTTTTAGATTATCATGCTTCCATTTGGTATCACATGCTTTTTCTATAAAAAAAAAAGATGGATACTGCATGTTGTTTATTTACACTGGCATATTTAACACAATATTCTAAACGAACCAGATGGTCAATGTTACTTCTATTTTGAGAGAAACCACATTGAATGTTCTTGATGAGATTGTCGATTATTTACAATTTGTTCCATGGTTTTGTTGGTTGGTTTGATGTTTAACGCCGCACACAGCAATATTCCAGCTATATGGCGGCGGTCTGTAAATAATCGAGTCTGGACCAGACAATCCAGTGATTGACATCATGAGCATCAATCCACGCAATTGGGATACGATGACATGCATCAACTAAGTCAGCTAGCATGACCACCAATTGCCAAAGTGGAGAAGAAAGAAGTCGGAAAGGAGATATATTTTCGAGTTCGATAAATGCAGCAGAAATGAAAGATTTAATTCTGATTCCTAGGGGTGGAATAAGTAATGATTTCTTATTGAAAAGATCCTCATAAAGGGAATTAAAAATGCAGTTGTAAGTGGGATGTCATTCATTTGAATATAATTTGGTAGTGTATTGTTAAAAAAAATTATATTCGGCGCTGTTTAAGAGATTGCTCATCGGCCTCAATGTACAAACTGTCAATTTGGGAGGTTTGGAAAGAACAAACAGAGAATCTTAGTCCTTGATGGTTTAAGTTTGCTTTTACAGGTTCCACCATAGATGATGGAGCCATGGTCGAGTTTAGAACGAATGAGTGATCTGTACAAGTGAAGAAGGGTTGACTGGTCCCTTCCCCACTTTGAACTGGAAACAGTATGTGGTAAAAAGGCAAGATGCTGATCAAAAATTATACCCAGGAATTTGGCTTGTTTCACTACTTTAATGGGAATGCCAGGTAGATGGAAGTCTTGGTCACTATGTTGTTATTTTTACGACAGATACAATTAGTTCTAGATTTAGAAAACACAGAACCGTTATATTGAGACCATTCATTTATTTTATTGAGACAAAGCTGTCTCTCAATCGTGTGCATATTTTTGCCTCGACATGATATATCAAAATCATCAACGAATAACGACCAATCAACAGAGTCATTTAAAACTTTAGATAAACAATAAGTATTTATACTATAGATGCTACCTTGGAGGATACCTTGGAGGATACCATGATCTTGATGTAAAAATCACACAAGGTGGATCCCACACGTACCTGGAAATGCCTATCTATTAAAACCTGTGATATTCAATTGGGCAAACTCTCAACCCCATCTCATGAAGATCCTTTAAAACTCCATGTATCCAGGTCGTGTCAGACGCTTTTTCTAAATCGAAAAATATAGATACAGTGTGTTTATTGATAATAGCATTTTTCACAATGATTCTAATCTAACCAAATTGTCAATTGTATTTCTACTTTTTCTAAAATCACATTGACTATTTGTTTTAAGATTATTTGTTTCTAAGTACCATATTAATCTGTTATTGACCATTCTTTCCATGCCTAGTAAGCGATATTGGAATTTGAAGGATCAGTGTGGTCCCGGCCAGGTTTTGGTATTGGAATGATAACAACATTCCGCCATGACGGAGGAAAATTTCCCGTTGTCCAGATATTATCAAATATATTTGATAGTGTTTCTGAACAGGAGTATAGTAAATGTTTAAGTACCATGGAGTGTCATAAAGACGATACTAATAACAAATGGATCTCCAACTTGCAGCACCAAGGATACCGGGATGATATACTCAAGCAGAAAAATTAAAAGATAAACTTTTCCACCAGATTGGCCCATGAGCCACCGCCTACTGGGCAAAGGACTCTAGGCAAATTACATACTTTAAGACAATATACCTATCAAATTCAACTACAAATCATTTGGTTAAGATAAAAACAAATCATTACAACATTTGGACAAATAATTTCAATGGTTTCACAAACTGGTGCAACACAATATTGATGCACAGGGCTTGGCATGACCAGCCGATTGATAGGACCGGGCCCATCCTACCACCCGTCTAGGCAAAGTAAGGGTCGAAGTGGTGTATTGGGCAAAGTAACGCTACTCCTGGAACCAGTGCCCGCAACCGCCAGACTCCCGTCCTCCCGACATAGAGGCGCAACCCTCGGCAAACGGGTTGACCAATTTGGTCGCCGTTTACGACCAACACCGGGGTGCTGAGGACACATTCTTGCCTACCCCGGGTTCGCTAGGGATTGTCGTAAGGGGCGACTATGTTTGTTATAAGAGGCAACTAACGGGATCGGCTGGTCGGGTTCGCTGACTTGGATGTTCATGTCATCGTATCGCAAATGCGTGATCGATGCTCATGACATCAATCACTTGGTTGTCTGATCCAGACTTGATCATTTACAGACCGCCGTCATATGGCTGAAATATTGTTTTGCGGTGCCGTTAAACAACAGACAAAGAAATAAAAGTCTGACAGATTATAGTGATCCTGATTAAAGTATTCCCATAAAAGCCACACTTTTCACATTAATGACAGGAACAATACCATTTCCCAGGAGGCAGATAACATAGATGTGACATGCTGAATACTCATGCCTATGAATGCAGAAAGAGGACAGATCTATTTTAAAATATTCTACCATCTAGGTGTATTCATTTCGATTATGCGATGTTTGGCCCAAGGTTTCCCATTGGTTGTAAGACTTCAGTACAATCTTCCTCTGGCGCTGATTGTCTCCAGTTTTCATTCGGTTCGAGGGATATCTTCAATTTCTGAAATGTGTCAGGGCAGGAATGTGAAACTCTCTTAAGTTCGTCCCAAACAAATGTTTATATAGTCGAGTGAGTGAGTTTGGTTTAACGCCGCTTTTAACAGTATTCCAGCTGTATCACGGCGTGTCAGCTGATTGTGGGAGAAAAACCCAGAGTGATGTAGGTCGCAAGCGTTTACCACTTCGGTGAAACCCATGAGCACGGGTATGGTGCTGACAAACCTAGAAACATAATCGGGGCGAACCGGGATTCGAACCCACATTCATAGGTTTCTGGCGTGCACAAGGGACTCAACTCTGCACAGCGAATCGCGGCGCCCGACGACTGGGCCACCCGTGCCCCTTATATAGTCGAGGCTTTCAGTAAGTTATTCAAAGTGGTTACATGATTTTGTTTCCTCTCTGATTTATCATTCATCTTGTAATACACGTAGCAAATATTAACCAATATGACTGACATGACATGAACTGCGCTATCATTTCAACCAGAAAATAATTATATAAGATTCGAGTGTTTACATTGTGTTTACCTCTTTCACTGTTGCCCCTTGTGTGTTGTAAACCGTCCAGATGAAAACAGTCGGCAACGGCAGGAGTGACGAAACGGATATGAGCCATCCAACGGCTGTCGCCCATGTGGGGTAGATGTAGTCCCCGTATTTCGGGGGTCGGTAGGAGTAGAAGGAGTAGCAGCAGATCACCTGGTAAAACAGTTAGGGTATAACGTACACACATGCCCTCGCCTGCGCACACAGTCCTTAGTATATTAAGCCTTTTGTATGAGCCTAGTAACCGAAACTCGTGCGGTCATCACCAATATTTTACTCTGCTTCAGCAATGCATCTCCCCAAGAAATATATCTTTTCCATGAGGATCGAACCTGTGGGATTACAGGTCCCACGCAACCTGAGCTTCTTACCAGATAGATCGATAAGATAGGCTTGGTGACTTGATAAACTGTGTAACATCGTCCAGCGTCGATCATAATAATATCAGTCGAAGATGTTCTTGCATCTTTTCCATATTTATATGTATTATGTTGTTGAAATAATTTTGTACCTCTGATGCCGCTGATAGCGGCCTGACTGTAAACAAAAGTTAAGTTCAGTCCTAATTAATTAAAGGCTGCTGGGTGGGACAAAAGGAATATGTGGAAAAAGCTGACGTGGTACCTGATTGACATTTGCAATGTGGGTAGTGATTAGGTTCATGTTTTTTTTGGCTGGAATAATGTTCAATTATAGGGAAGTTTTGCAGAATCTGGACTTGGCAGCTCATGATGTAAATTCCACTACTTGTGGCTGCCAAGACTCAGCATACTGCTACCAACATGTAGGTCATCTAATCACAGGACTTCAGCAACCCGGGTATTCTTGTCCAAAAGAGGCGACTAACAGGATCGGGTGGTCAGGATCGCTGACTTAGTTGATGCATGTCATCGTATTCAAATACGGACCAAAATATCGTGGCCAGCCTCCTACAAATTGGGATCACAACTTAAAATCATTATGGATGCTGTCAAAGTAAATGCCAATAAACGGGGCAAAAGAGAAGAGGAAACTGTTGAATATTTTTCAGAGTGGGTTAAGTCAGTGCGTGATGTTGTCATTGGTAGAATGCAAAAACCGAAGAAGAGGAAACGGAATTGGAATAAACCCATTCTGTCTCAGCTAGCTGTCGTCCAAAGTCTGGCTGCCCTACATGAAAAGTTTGTAGTTGTACCAACTGAAAAGGCCTCAAATAACAACAATAATATTTAAGCATCACAACATTAATTATTTGATCAAAGAACTTGAAATAAGTGACATATCAAATAATGCTTAATATCAGGCCAGTATATCAACTGAGGAAGAAATCTGCTATAACCATGCATCAATCCACTTTTGGCTTTACTCTAAAACCTAAAGGGGGGCACGGGTAGCCCAGTCGTCGTGATTCGCTGTGCAGAGTTGCGTCCCTTGGGCACGCCAGAAACCTATGATTGTGGGTTCGAATCCCGGTTCGCCCCGATTATGTTTCTAGGTTTGTCAGCACCATACCCGTGCTCGTTGGTTTCACCGAAGTGGTAAACGTCCGAGACCTGCATCACTTCGGGCTTTCCTCCAACATTAAGCTGACACGCCGCGATATAACTGGATTACTGTTAAAAGCGGCGTTAAACCCAACTCATTCACTAAAACCTGAAGACATGTCTTTCCTCTTTTGTACTGGATTCCAAATGTTCATAAAAATCCGTACAAAGAGAGATATATAGCTGGGTCCAGCAAATACACCACCAAATCCCTGTCTCAACGATTAACAATAGTTCTTAATACAATCAAGGGAGGACTTTCTTTATATTCACAGAATTCATAGTCAAAGAGACAAGAGGAATTAACACATGTGGATTCTCAAAAACTCAAATGATTTGCTTGACTTTGTACAATCTCAGAAAAGAACCAGGTTCAATTCTGTTTTTGTCAGGTGAACAATTAACTTGCCTTTGCACGTGTTTGTTACGGATGCCACTGGTGGGGCACGATGCGCTCAACTTTTATTCAACTCAATATTATTACTATTTGAGAGTGATACATAAACACATGCTCATGATATAGTCGGAATCGTACAGTCGACTTTTGGCAGAGATTTCTTATGAATATGGAAAGGGTTTTATCGCTTTTATTTGTTAAACCTCACACACTTACTCACTCACCTATCATCAATTGATTGTTAAATGGCAATATTGTACTTTGCCTAACAATTGCGAGTATGCAAGTATCGACGTTTCAGTAGGTATGATGGTTTTAACTACTTACAACTAGAAATAGGGGGCACACAAACTTGAAACTTATGACCATAGCCCGAGGTATCCTCTTTCCCCACATCGTAAGGGCGTCCTCGTGAAGCCTCTTGGTTCCTGAAATGTAAGTCATCCACGTGTCCTTATTATGGCTAGCATACATATATAATTGCAAATAGTAACTGATGGACACATCTCTCTTGAAGAAATGTTAGAATATTGATTTTCTTCCAAAGTAATTGTTTGTTGACAAGGGTCGTTCCTGATTATGAACATGTCATTCACAAAAATCGGAACCATACCCTGTGTCTTCCTCGAGATGACCATCGGACAGATGTAGCTACTAAACTCTGGAATATGTCTCTTGGTGTTTTAAAGATAACCATGGAACTATGTCCAAGTGTAATAGGGAAATGTGCCCTGGTTTAAATATAATTGCTTTGTTATGTAATAAACACTTAGTCTTGAGTCTGTCTCACTAAAAATTCTTTTTTTTTGTCATCTGACCTCCATTGTCTCACATGTGAATGCAAATTGTCAGTATGCTCTGCTTTGCCTTTCCCAAAAATGTCAATAAAATGGACTGGCCAGGACACATAGGAAGAGACGGCTGGGGAGAGTTTATGGTGTGTCGACGTTGACAGCCAGTCTCTGGTTTGGAATGGAGGTCTTTGGGTGATATTAAAAGTTGGTTACTTATTTGAAAATAAACGCATTTGGCATCAGCTGCATGAGGTACATGTACTCATAAGTTGAACATCGTATTAGTTTATGACGTCAAATGTTTAAGAGTGTTTGTGTCACAATAAAAAATGAAGTGCAAAACAGAATGAAAGTTCGAAATACAAACTTAAGGCCATGGTACAGCGTGTGAAGCAACTATTCTAGAAGAGAGGTGGCAAGTTACAATGTGGATGCGCTCTTACCATAGCACCAGCCCACAACGATGCACTCAAGGATGCCAAACACGGCCGTTGATGGGAAGAAGGTGTACCAGTCAACCAGCGTCACCACGAATATCCCACCCTTCAATGTGTTGATTACACAATGTCAGAATGTAACAATATTCATTGAAGATGATCTCAGAGATTTCTAAAGCTGAAATACCAAGTATCTATGAAATGATTAAGTTGTACCTATTGTTATGAGATAATTTCCAGATTGAAATGCAAAGGCTAACCCAGAAATCAATTTGTACAGAACTAAATTGTGAAATCAGCCGCACAAGATCAATGAATATTTGACAAATTATTTTGAAAAACGCACATTTAGGTTTTCAATCACAATATAAAATGCAATGGTTCAAAAACGTGGAATTCGAAGCAGCATTAATTAACAGACCCAATAACATATGTCCAGAATGAGTCACTGTCGAATGTCTTGAAATAAAAAATGCCCCATGAATTCTTGAATCTGTAAAAAGTGTTCGTAGCTGGTACGTCTACGCTGGGAAAGTAAATCAGACACGTTAGGTAGTAGAAGGCTTGGAACTGTCACATCACGAAACCTTTCGAAGTTCTTTTAGAAACCAAAGGGGGGTAACTTCCGCGGCCACTGCAAACGCTCTCATTCATTTCATTGTCACATAAGTCTACTGCCACACCACACTATGTCTTTTTTGTTTTAAAGATGAAGTCAGATTAAATGGAGTTTAACATTGATGCCAACATTAAGCTGTAGGATCCTTTCGTCGCCAGTCACTCACTCACTCTTAGCTAGTTAGTTGTTATTCTTCTCGTTGATATGTATTGTATCTCATGTAACAAACCCCCATTACACAAACTCATTGGACCCTATTGATATATCTTTTTCAACCGTATGTCACAAAAGTAATACATCAACTTTGCCGATTTTCTTTGTGAGGATTAAATCATATCTTTTACTTTATTTTAACAAACAACGGATAATATGTTGTATGTTGGGATTTTAACAAAAGGTGTGCCCGAAAATTATAATAAATAATTATAATAAAAAACATAATTAAGATTCAAACCTTAAAAAAACAAGATTTCAATCTCATAATAATGAATAAAACAATATATGTTTTTCTACCTGCAGCTGAAAGATTATCTCATCTCAATACAATATCACGCACGCACGCACGCACGCACGCACGCACGCACGCACGCACGCACGCACGCACGCACTAACACACACACTCTCCGAATTATCAAATGGTAGAGCCATAAAAAAGTTGTAAGAATATTGGCAGGTTCATCTGATAATCACAAAAATATAAATGTTTCGAGCCTGACCCTAAAAACTGTCCATGTGTTGATGAAAGGGTCTAACTATAAATCATCACAACATAATGTTAACAAAGACATGTTCATCTGTACCCTGGAATATATATATATCAGACCCACATTACATATTCAATGTTTCCGCTGCATTATATTAAAAAAACAGTCAGATGTGTTCACCGTTACCTGTGACGTATATATCAGACCAAACAAGAAGAGACTGAGGAGCACAGCACCGACGGTGAGCCAGTGTCGCTTCATCAGTTGGGGAAACATATCCTCCAAGGCAGCGATGACTATTTCCACACACGGTACCTGAATAGATGCACATGTTTCACCACATGCCAGTCTTTGCATTTGAATAGTTACCGCGTCTAAGTTAGAACCCTCAAAGTGGGGCTTTTTAAAGGCATGTGCCACACTGCTGTATTAAACGAGCATGTTATGGTGCTACAAGGCCGATGTTCATACTGGGGATTCGAACCCACAAAAAGTGGAACATTACATGGAACAGAGTGTGGCGCCTTGGACCACTGTGTCAGCAGTAACTTCCTTTGATTAGAGTGAGTGAGTGAGTGAGTATGGTTTTATGCCGCTTATAGCAACACCTTTGATTTGAGGCTAAGAGAATTATGAAATACACTCGCTTTAGATTCGCTCACCAACAGGTATAAGTCACTGTAAAACCGTTTACATATGTTTATCAACCATTTAACCATCACTCTTAGACCTCTGGCTGCAAGCTTTGCATCATATAGTTCTGTTTATATTTATTGTGTAATGAGTACACTGCTTCTTCATATTTTTAAGTACAGTAAACTACGGTTATAACGAACACGCTTATAACGAACTTACGGATATATCGAACTTACTGTTTTGGTCCCGACTACTTGCTGTAGTTATGCTGTATATATGCTTATAACGAACTACGGTTATAACGAACTAAAATTAGTAGTCCGTTGGAATTCGTTATAAGCGTACTTAACTGTAGTGTCTTGTTCTCAAATGGTTTTAGCGTAGTTATTAGTTGATTGTGAATGAATCAGATTTTCTCGCTACCATAGAATCGACAGCCAAAAACATCAAGGTCAAAAAGGTCAACACCGACCATAGCTGCGGCAGAGGGAGGGTCGACAGGACGTCGGGGTAGACGATGAAGGCAAGGTCATAGCCTGAAACACAATAGCCAACAATCAGTTGATCCTGAAAACCACGTTTCCCGTTTCTGGGGCCTACATTTGTGGTCAAGACCAAGAAGGAGGTTTTAATCAATACTTTTATGTATCCCTCACACTTTCTTTTCACCTTAGGAAACGGACGTAAAATATTTCTGTGTACATGGATAATGGACAGCGCCTCAGAAGCCCAGTTGTTATAATAGGCTGTAATACCGAAGGTTGCAGGTTCGAACCCACTGAATGATAAGTTTAATGTTTCGTTTGATTTTACTTCATTTAAACGCACAATTAAGATGTGCGACAGAGGGACTTTCTATAAAATATACCTGGGAGAGAGGGGCATTCTGGAAAAAGAATCTGTCAAAAGATTATTGTACAAAAAGAAGTCCCCGTAAAATCAATAGCATGGCGTGCCGTCACGAGGTTTATAATGATAATTTTTGCTGCCTTAATCCGAGGTTGTTGACATTGGGACAAGCATGGGTTTCTGAAGACCTATTCTACCCCAGATCTTCACGGGTCGGCAAACCAAGAATCAAAATCAGGTCGGAGCTTGTATTCAAACCCACAGTAATAGGATTCTAACAAACCTAAGGCATCCAACTGTATTTCCCGATTACCCACCAATTCATATGAACAATATTCATAGTCATCATCAAGTTTCAAATGCAAAATAGCATTTCTTACTGTATTAGCCATGTACTTACCAGAAGATTCAAACGTATCCACAGCTACTCCGCGTTGGAAGGCCACGTGACCAACGACAGCAAAGAATGCAAAGCCGAAGAAAAGGTTGGAGAGAGAATCGCTAAGGCAAATTATTATCGAATCCCTATAAATCAATATATGAACAATATATTATAACAATAGTGGTGACGAGATTGAATGTAAACGCTTATTAACAGACATTAACATATGCATTTTGGGGACCCTCGGGTCAAACACCACGGGGCAGTTAATCTCCGTAATTTGTTGGTTAATTTCTAAATATGCCATAATTATGGCAAATACTCTATTTTGATTGGATAAGCAGAGTTCTTAAATCACCACCGAAGCTAATCTTTATAGAAATGTATTTCTTATTCATTCATTCCAGGCGTGGTCAATTGTAGGTAGGTAGTATTAAATTTATACCTATCCCACCTTCCGTGGAAGGTGACTATGAATATTCATGAGCCTAGTGTTATGCTTATAGACATGCATGACGTCACAATGAGGACGGAGTCCTATGCATGAATGTTAAGTATGTGAAGAATGCGGCCTTTGTTAAAATGTCTTAGCCGCGGATTTCTTAAGGAATGCCAACTATTTGTAATGTAGTCGGGGTAGATTCCTTCAGATGTATACTAGAATGATCATCAGCAAATGGAATGTCACCCTTTCGTGGAGAAATTTGGCATTCCCTAGGAATGGCAGTGATGCTATTTGGAAATATTGCTGGGGTAGATTCCTTCAGATACATACTAGAATGATTTCGTAAAAAAGTGTGAAATTTCGTAGGAATATCATTGAAGCTATTGAAATGTAGTCAGGGTAGATACCTTCAGATACGTAGTAGAATTATCGTCATCAAATGAAATGTCACCCTATCTTAAAAGAATAAAACAGTCCTCAATCTCATGATATAACTACTCAATGAATACTTAGAATAGCGTCATCGAGACAAAGAGGAGAATTTTCTCATTTACCATTTCATCACCACATCCGACTGCTAGGAAATCTATATTTTGTTTTTGCTTACAAAATACAGATGAACCTTTCATTTTTGGATGGAAAAAAATCTCATTCAACAAATACCATCAATCATTTTCACACGAACAAATGAATAAAAAATAGGATAGTTTTATAAAAAAAAAGTCCCTACTTTTTCACCCCGTGATATATTTCGATGTAAAAAGTTGTCGTTGTCTTATTCTTATCTTCAGTCTTAATTTCCAACTCTGAAAAATCTCCTTCGCTCATGTTTCCTATCTAAGCCCTGAACCCGACCATACACGTCCTTCTTAAATTATATGTAGTTCACATGACATATTATACACCGAACATATGATAAATGAATGTGTGTATATTGTAAAATCTAGATAGAAATGAAACATCCAAAGATCTTATTAAGGATACATGAACAGTTTCAGAATATTTTTTCATACTCTTCATGAATAAATCAGTCTGTTCGCCATTGTAAATTGCTTGAACGCACATGCTGTACAGTGGTTGGGCCAGCAAGTATATATTCAATCACCGAGGTAGAAACGGTTTTATCGTTTTGAAGTACACATATGACAGTGTCTTTCGTGCAATGAAATATACTATGTTTAAAAGCCATTCCAGTACCAATCCTCAGTCTACAGTCTATCAACGCTTCTTCACAGTGCTTCAACACACAGTTTGTCTTAACCTATTCTACGCGAGCTGTCGTTTGTCGTAGCGAAATTCGCACGGTACTTGACGTGAGGCAGTTTCTGAATGAGAAACCAACAACAAAAGGTATAACGCTTTCTCAGGGCGAATGGAAAATGATGTTACGCCTGAAACCTTTCATCTGTGCACAGTCAGGTCCATGAATGAACAAAAAATGAATAAACGGACAATGCCTGCATGATCTCAGCCATCAATTTAAATTTTATGTTTAGTTAATGCCTATCAACAATGGACTAAAAGACGATGAAAAGAAGAAGAAACTACTCAAAGTTTACTACGTACATCAATGAAAACCTACATGTCATTGAATATAGCGAGCACAGAGTTGTAGCAATGTTTACACGAATAAACTATGAAAACTTTACACGTGAAAACATAAATTATTCAAGTTGTTGGTACACATTACATAAAGTCATAATTTCACCGATAGTGTTTTCCAAATCCTGTTGAAATTCACAAAACATATATCTTCCGTATAGCATGTATCCCTTATTCCACATGACTTTAGAACTTGTCTGACTCGTGGAGAGTATGTTTAAGTTTACTATCTTCAATCTATTTCGCCTCTACCCTATATTGTGACATACCACCGTAAATGGTCTAATAGAAATAACCGTCCCCCTCACGGTAACCTATGTTTAAGTTACAGTACCCTGTTTAGAGATAATTCGTTAGTATTTACTCTAATCCCATCCGACATCCGGACAGATGGGAACAATACCTCAGATATTCCTGAACTGTGTCTCAATATAGGCTGCCGCTTTGGGAAACTTGTTCACGATGTGGGTCACCCGTGTTGAAAAAATGTTTTATCATATTGAAAATTGTTTTGATGTAAACTATTCACTTAGCTTGAGGAATAGGAATGTCGCTCTGACTAGTTTATCCCAAATTCAAAGTTTGCTCTTTATGTTGAATGGCTGAGCTAAGTAGAATGTCTCTCTGAATAGTTTATCTAAAACACATTCTCTCTATACTGAAGTGGTGACCGTGTTGAAAAAAAATGTTTCTACATTTTGAAAATTTTCATTTCTAAATATCCCTGCGGCATACTATTTCACACCTTTGAAAAATCTTTATATTTTTTAATATAACATGCAAATGGAAAGATATACATAACAAACAAACAAATGTGCGTTACATAATAAAAGTAGTTTTTTTCAAAGAACATGTGTTGAAACTAATATGTTTTAAAGTTGGTTGATGATATATGTTGTAAAAGTTTGAGAGAACGATGTGTCAGTCACAACTTATGAAGACTAACAAGGTACAACAATTAAAGAAATGTTTTTCTCCTATTGCTTGTCTTGGTCACTCCTTTCATCACCAGCACCAGCATTATCAGATTCAGAGTCACTTTCTTCCTCTGTCATATCGACATAGAATGTCTTTCATGACTGGCTTCATGACGCGCCAGTTATATCATGCCGCGTCATCTTCATGTGGGAGGGAACCCCGAAGCGATGCAGGTCTCAGACGTTTACCAGTGAAACCTACAAGCACGAGTATTGTGCTGACAAACCTAGAAACATAATCGGAACGAACCGGTTTTAGAACCTACAGTACAATCATAGGTTTCTGGCGTGCCCAAGGGACAGCGAATCGCGGCGCCTCAGACGACTGGGCCACCTGTGCCCCCAGTTGAAAATGGAAGGAGAAACGAATGTACGCATGCATTTTATCTAGAAATAGGTTTTAAATTCATTGGCTGTTGAAGGGGAAAAGGGGGTTGATTTGTTAGATAACCTTTTGGCATCATGTCTAAAATTAACATTTAAAATGGTTCTGTTTTATTAAGTGAAGCGAGATAGGCTACGCTAAGCAGAGAAGGGTGTTAACACATGTCCACATTCTTTCACAAAAGGGTGACATTCAATTTGCTGATGATCATTCTAGTATACACCTGAAGGAATCTACCCCACTACATTCCAAATAGTTGTCATTCCTAAAGAATTCCTTGGCTATTACATTTTAACAAAGGCCTCATTCTTCACATTCTTAACATTCATGCATAATGACTCCGTCCTCATTGTGACGTCAGGCATGTCTTTCAGCAGAACACTAGGCTCATGAATATGCATAGGGCACCTTCCACAGAATTTTATACTACTTAGGTTACACAATACAAGTAATGCTTACGACAATATACAAAGTATTTGTGTCGATACAAAATCGACAAGAGCATATTTCAAATTCTATGTAGAGGGACAATAGATGATGGAGCGGCTGATAGACGTAAACTATACCTGAAGCAGTTGTTATTCATTTTGTTGTGTCCAGACATAGTGACTATGCACCCCATAGCTATACCCATTGAAGACAGGGCGTAACTACACGACTGAATCCACACCTGTAACAACAGAAACATATCTGTTTGTACAGTGTTAATCAGGAGTATGATGTTTGTTTGTTGTTGTTTAACACCGCACTCAGCAATATTCCAGCTATATGACGGCGGTCTGTAAATAATCGAATCTTGACCTGACAATGCAGTCATTGACATAAGCTTCGATCTACGCTATTTGGATACGATGACAGTTCAGGTCGGGTAGCCTAGTGTTTGAAGCGTTCACTCGTCACGCTGAAGACCCGGGTTTGATTCCCGACATATGTACAATGTGTGAAGCCCATTTCTGGTGTCCCCCGCCGTGATATTGCTGGAATATTGCTAGAAGCGGCGTAAAATCTTACTCACTCACTGGACAAAATGACATGCATCAACCAAGTCAGCGAACCTGATCACCCTATCCCGTTAGTCGCAGGGTTGCTGAAGATTTTTTCAAGCTCTAACCCGGATCTTTACGGGTAGGAAACAGAATTGATACCATTTGCCGGTATGAAACAGAATTGATACCATTTGCACCATGATGTAAATTGCGGGGGCGCATATCTCTGTAACCGGGGGTGTTCATGAATAACAGGTCGTTATATGTGATGAGGATTTATTGTAGGTCAGAACAAACGCCCCTGTAGGTTAAACTGGGGCGCGAACTGCGTTCACCAAACACAAACTGACTGGACTATGATGCCTGCATCTGATAGAGTTAGAGCATCTGTTAGAACGATCTCAGGTAAACATACCACACAAAGCAAATGTTTGTTGTCAGCATGGCCAAGGTGTAGTGGCTGGTGTGCTGGTTAAATGCTGGGTGTAAGTATTTTAAACAAGGCCAATCAGGCGTAAGCTGTATTAAACAAAGGACCGACCCAAGCTAACTACCCGACCCAACAACCAGTAGAAGTTAAATATAAGAAAACTCCACGCAGAGATTAAGTCATTATGCTGCTGCAGAGCTGTAGAATACAGCAGCCATACAGGTTTGTTTAATTTAATGCAAC